CGTCTCCCCCAGAGGCAGCTCTGCTCTCCTTTGAGGGCTCTCTGGAGCCAAGCCCTAAGCATGCACGAGTTTCTCCTGTGCCCTGAGACCCCAGGGTCAAGGTCAAGGGCTGATCCAGCAAGGTTAAAACTTTCCCCTGGCCTCATGCTAGGAGGGAGGAGGTGACTCCTCTTTAGGGTAGCTCTTGGTGTGCAAAGCCGGGGTGGAGACCTCAACTGATCAAGGAAGGAGACAAGGTGATTTTTCTCCTGGCCGGAGGCCCTGGCTGCTGCCTTCATCATCTCTTCTGTCCATTCATGTAGGGAGGCCATTGTGTGCTCTGCCTCCCCGGGCCGCAGGTGAAGATCAGTGTGAAGACCCTAGGTCCCCAGCACCTGGAGTGTGCTGCCCCTTTAAAGGGATGGCTATTGGAGGGTGGGCGCGGCAGGATTAGGTAACCAACCTGAAAGCGCAATTTGGAGTAAATTGCTCTGGGATCTCTGCCATGGGGTTTTTACAGGCCCTACACGGCTGCTCAGAGGTTCTCTCGCTGACTCACCCTCTGAGGTGAGGAACGCTGCCCTCTGCAGCCCCTGCTCCCCCCAACTAGGACCGGGATGCAAGGGCCTGGGGGTGCTCAGAGCTGGATCCCTTTGCCCAGGCATGCCTCTGTGACCTGGGTCTCCCAGAGATAGTAGAGCTGAGACCAGGGAATCATGGGAATGGCCAGGGAGGTACTTAGCTCAGGAGCTTTCTTGGATTGTCCTCAGAGGGAGCATAGACATCCAAGAGCTGATCACTTCTTGCTTCCCTTTGGGAATTCTGCTTTTCTTTTCTTTTCTTTTCTTTTGAGACAGGGTTTTGCCATCTAGTCCAGGATGGCCTTGAACTCACTATATAACACAGGGTAGCCTCAAACTTGCAGAGATCCTCCTGCCTCAGTCTCCCAAGGGCTGAGATTACAGGCATGTACCACCATGCCTGGCACCTTTTGGGAAATTCTGGAGCAAGTTTTCCAGGGGCAAGGGAACCAGGAACCCATCTCAGTTTTGAGTACTGCTGCACCTGAATTCTGTGAGAGGAAAAAGTCTGGTGAATTTCCCTGGGGAGGGAGGTCATGGTTTCTTTGTGACCCTCAGTCGGCCCTCAGCTTGTCTGGGCCTCTGTTTCTCCAGTGGTGAGGGCTGGGTTCCAACCCTCCTCCCTGGGCGTGAGAGGGCGCAGAGCCCTAGGTACTTCTGCCTGTTCCGCCTCCCCCTTCCTGGAGGTGCCGGGTGACTGGATGTTATTGTTTGGGTAACAGGAGCCATGGGCCGGCCAGGGTGCGGATTGGTCTGTTCTCAGTGGAGAACAGGGCCTTGCTGTTCTTAGCCCAGATGACATGTAAGTGATACAGCAGCCTGACCTGCAGGTACAGGTGCCGTCATCACAAGACGGAGGCAGGTGAGGCTGGCTGGAGCCTTTGGCAGAGGGCTGTGATCTGGACCTCCTTGCCCTCTGTGATGCTACCACAAATGGACTGCTAGGAGGCAGGGCCTGGCCCACGGTGCAGGCTGGGTGGAGTAAACCATTGCTGGTGTGGGTGAGGATGCTGCCTGGGGCTTCCCTGTCCCTGCTGAAAGCAGTGGCCTTGTCTGTAGGCCTGGTCCTGCCACGTATAGCACTTTACAATCTGCCACATTCCTCACTTCGCTTATGTCCCTGTAATTCTCATAGCAGCTTCCTAAAGAGAGATCATTACCCCCATTTTCAGATGGGACAGCTGAACCTCAAACTGTCACATGAATTAATGTCAGAGCCAGGATCGGAACCCAGAGTGCTCGCTGTCTCCAAGTGGAGGAGAGCCAGCGAGGGGGAAGCGCTGGGTTCAAGATGGCCCAGGGCAGGTACTCTGAGCAGCTCCGGATGTTGGCAGACTCCTCATCCCACACGGCCCCTGTCCAGCCTTTGCTTGAGGGCTGGTGATGCCTTGGCACCTGGCCCGAGCCTCCAGCCGTGCACAGGGCTGCCAGTGTTGGACTCAGAACCTAGCTCCTGGGGCTGCTTCCTGCCTGCGGGGCCCATGCTGTCTTTCTTCATCTGCTGTCCAACTTCTCCTGATGCTGCCCAGTGTCCCTGTTCCAAGACAGAGACAGTGACTTGGATAGGAAGAAGGATGCCTGTTGGAAATCATCTCTTTTTGTTTTGTTTTGTTTTTCTGGCTCCGGGAATCGAACTCACTACCTTGCACTTGCCAGGCAGGTGCTGGGCTGCTGAGCTAAATCTCCAGCCCCTGGAAATCATCTCTGACCACTGTAAGGGGTTGGTGGTCTGGGTCTCCTGGGCAGCTGTCCTCCATCCTCTAAGAGGCCAAAGGGCCTTCCCTATACTGGTTCTCTCTTTCTTTCTCTTTTTCTTTCTTCCTTCCTTCCTTCCTTCCTTCCTTCCACGTGTACCAGGAGTCGAACTCAGGACCTCAAGTTTGCCAGGCAGGTGCTGTGCCACTAAGCTAAACCCGGCCCTCTTTTTCTGTTTTTGGAGACAGGTTCTCACTACATAGAGTAGTGACTGCTCACTCTATCCCCTGGGCCCTGGTCAACTTGTCCCTTCTCTCCAGGCTGCTAAGATACTTTCTTTTCTGGAGGGGCACTGAACCCAGGTCCTTGTGCATGGTCGTGCATGCTAGGCAAGTGCTCCACCACTGAGCGGTACCCGCAGCCCTCCCAGGTTGCTGAGAGATGACAGTGTGTATGCATGTGTGTAGAGGGGCTTGTAGCACACTTGGCCCCTGGGGAGGATTTAGGGGCATTAAAGGGGCTCAGGGGACAGGAAGGATGTCCTGGGAGCGGCAGTGGGAAGCTGCTCTAGGGGCAGGGAGATTATGTAACGGGCAGAGCACAGCTACGCCTGCTGCTGCCAAGCAAGACCACAGCTGCCCTATGAACTCAGCTCCTGGCTCCAAAGTCCTGACCTGCCCTAGGTTGGGTCTTCCTAGGCAGTGGGACCCTCTGCTGTACCACACTGTCTGAGCCAGGAGGGCTGAGGGCAGCTGCTTCAGGCCCAAGTGGGGCAGGTCATTCACTTCACACCCCTCAGGAAACATGGGCTGGCTTTGGTGCACCTCAGGGTATACAGTTCCCACCCGAGCTGAAATCTGGACAAAACAGGACTGCTCAAGGGTGGGCTGTCGCGCCTGTGTCACCCTGCACGCAGCTCCCCTGGCTAGGGTGTGGCTGTTCCACAGCAGACCTTTATGAGCACCTCCTGGATTTCAGATCAAATTTTAAATCCTTAAGTTGTACATCACTAGTCCCGCGGAGCCTCAGTTTCCTCCTCTGTCAGTGGGGCCTGGGCTTACCTCCCGGGCTGTCACAAAGATTAAGTGGTGCCACAGGTGTGAGGCACTGAGCCCAGCCTGGCACACAGCGGGGGCTTGGAAGAGCAGCTGTTAGCACCAAGCCCTGGCCTCTGCCCTCCTGGGACTCCCCATTTATTAGCAAGGGAAGTCTGTGTGTAAATAGTCCCTGTGGGGTAGCGAGTGGTGCCGTGGAGGAATGCAGGGCCAGGGTGGTGGAGCCACACTCTGGCTGATGGGGAGCAGAAGGGTCCCAGAGTAGGGCAAGGCCCAGGGCACCACATCTCTGGGCTGAACGCTTGCCCAGACTTTGTCTCCTTCCACACCCGCAGCAGTTCTGGGAGGTCGGGGGAACGTCCCACATGTTACAGATAAACACACTGAGGCCTCTCTCAGCTGGTTGGTTTGCACAAGGCTGCACACTCTGTCCTGGCGGAGCTGGGGCCACACGGTCCCTTCCTTCCCACTGGGAAGAGGTGCTATTTGAGCTGTCTTTCAAGATGAGGTGTTTGCTAGGCAGAGCACAGGAGGCAGGGAGCGCTGGCCCCTGGGAACGTTCCATCTGGGCTGTGAGGAGCCATTGCCAGAGGGCTTGGCTCAGGTGTCCTCACCGTGAAAGCAGAGGTGGAGGGGACCATCCCAGAGGGCATCTGTCTGCAGGGAATTTCTGGCAGTGCTCTGCAATCTCCCTTTGCTTGTTTGTTTGTTTGTTTGTCTTTTTGAGACAGGGTCTCGCTATGCAGTTCAGGCTGGCTTTGTGCTCACTTTGTAGCCCAGGCTGGTCTCGAACTTGCAGCTATCCTCCTGCCTCAGCCTCCTGAGTGCTGGGATTACAGGCATGTGCCACCACACCCGGCTAATCTCCTTTTCCTTTTTCAGAATGGACAGGCCTCAGGGGAAGAAGCTGGACTTCAGCCATCCAAGGTGAGGACCATCGTGGGTGCCCTGGGCTAGGTTGGGGGAGTGCTGTTTGTATGGCCTGGAGGAGAGAGGCCTGCCTTCTTCCCACCTGGCCACAAGGGCCTGACTTCTTGTCCCAGTGTCCAGCTCAGTCTCCTTTATCTGATCCCAACTCATCCTGTTGGCAGCGCTAGAAGTCACTTGTCACTTACTCCAAACTTGGGTGGGTCCCGTGCCCTCCCCTGGCCTCTTCACCTCTAGTGGGAAGGACCACACCAACTCACAGGTAGCTGTGAGTTCAGGAAGAGCCTGGCTACCGTGGGGCTTTAGACCCTCCGTGGGCAGGAGCTGAGCCTGGGCAAACCTGGGTTCAAGTCCCAGCTGTGTCCTCCCTACCCATCCCTTTTCCAGAAGCTCTTCTCCCTTCTCTCGGTGTCCTCGTGTGAAGGTTGGGGGAAGTGTGCCTTTCCCACAGGAGTTGTGAAGGACAAATGAAGTACTAACCGCCTGGCACATAGTAGCTCCAGCATCAATAGCACAAATGCTCTGGTACATTGCTCAACTCTACTTCCTGCCTGTGGCCCCACCCTCCAGGTCTGGGTCGCCTGAGCAGCACAGCTGCTATACGCCTGACCTTTGAGATGGAGCCAGGTTGGTCCTGATGTTTACCTTGACTCACCTTGCTAAGATAAGGTACTGAGCTGGGTGGGGTGGAGCATGGTGAGAAAAGGAGGCTCCCACTCCCTCCACTGTTGGTTACTGTGGCAACAGAGCCATCAGAGGCCAATAAGCAGCATGGCCTGGACTCTTTATCTCAGCCCTGGCTGGAGACTCCTCTTATAAAGTAGGTGCTCCTAGTTGCCTATAATAAAGTGAAGGGATTTGAGATCCCAATAGAGGGCCAGGTGTTCAGATCTTGGGGCAGAGACTGGAGGGTTCAGAGGAACCTGCGGCTTTTGGGGAGTGGAGCTTTGAACCCCAAGAATGAATGGGACTGATTGGGAGAGGGCAGGAGCTTGCTCTCCCAGGTAACCTGCCTTGGCTTCCCAGCCTGACTCCTGTCCTGCAGCAGAGGGTCCTGGGTGGGGAGGGAGACAAGGCTGGAGACGGTAGACGGTGAGACTCTTAAATGCCATGCTGCACTGAGAAGAGAAAGAGTTTAACCCCGCCCAGTGCGACACTAGCTTTCCATCTAGTTCTCACTGTACCCTTGGAGGTAGATTGTTACTAGCAGTGTTTTACAGATGAGGAAACTAGGACCCCGTGTCCCAGTGTTGGTGGCGATAGAGTCAAGTCTTGCTTGACCACAAAGTCCACATTTCTCCCAGGCTAGGGAATCCAGGGTGCTGAAGAGAAGCCCTGTATATCTGTGTCCTGACGTGCCACAAATCCTGGGCACCTGCTCATCCATCTCTTACCCCGGCCACCAGTGTCTCTGGTGCCTACTTCTGGGCTTAATACACCAGGGGGCGCTCAATCTGTGGTTGGATGAGCCAGCAGTGGCCAGTTTCTCCTTCGTGGAACAGTGGGTGCATCGTGTTGTGGACTGGGAGACCAAAAGGCAAAGTCAGCCTTGCCCTGCCTTCAGGGAGCTTCCGGTCTTCAAGGGAGGGTGGAAACTGAGTGCTGTGGTAGGCACGAGGACAGGGAAAGAACACAGCCATGCTCACACAGAACCTTCATTCTGTAGAGCCCGGCCTCTTGCTGGGCAGCGATGTACCACTTTCCCGGTGCCCCTGCTTCTTTCAGTGGCATGGTGAGGGGAACACATCCCAGCCCCAGCTGGTGGCATCTGACCTTGGGGCTTAGCCATGGATGAGACAGACGTCACTGCTGTATGTGGCAGAGGAGGAAGAGCTGAGTGAACTCTGGGGCACTTGGCCACCTTCCCTGTAGAGCCAGCATTTGACTGGCCGTCCGAGGGCAAGAACTGGGCAGCAGAAGAAAGAGGTGGTCTTTCCGCGTGGAGAAGAGGCAGGGCCAGGGTCTTGGGAGCCAAACTTTCTGAGTGCAGAATCCTGTCCTGTCTCATGGGTCTTACAACCCACAGCAAGGAACTTGCTCTCTAAAGCGGAATAGAAGTGGGGCATGGTGGTACACTCTGGGAGGCTGAGGCAGAAAGACTGCAAGTCCAAGAGCAGCCTGGGCAAATTAGCAATTTAGTGAGACCCTGTGTTGGAATTTAAAAAGTACTAAGGATGGAGCTCAGTGAAAAGGCCTTGGGCTGAATCTCCAGTACCAAAGAGAGCGGGGGGAGGAGGAAGGGAAGAGGGAAGGAGGGGAGAGAAAGAGAGAGAGAAGGAAGGGGAGGGGAGCGTAGAGGAGGGGAAGGAAGGGAAGGGAAGGGAGCAAGCAGAGCGGAGCCTGTCTCTCTCAGGGCTGCTTGGAAAAGAGAATGTGATGTGTATAAATTAAAATATCCGAAAACGTTCGTGGTACCAGGTTTGTTGTGTGCTGGTGTGTAATACTTCTGAATTTATTTATTTCAGGCAGAAAGGGGTTTGGGTCTCAGGAGCGATGGTGTGCATAGCCAGTGCAGGGTGAGAGCTCCCTTGGTCCCTGCAGCACCTGGCACACCTGGCGTCCTCAGGCACCCTGGGGCTCCACTCTCTTCTCCCTTCCTAGGAGCAGACTGGGCACCCCAGGCCCCTTCCTCTGGCTATCTCCGGAGCTGGACCCCTTTGAAGCGTCTGCTGGTCTATTTTGAGAGCTGAGCGTTTCCCCACTCCCCTCCTCTCTTCCTGTTTATGAAATACTGATCCCTCCCGGATTCCTCGCGCTCCCCTGGCCAGAGCTGAGGCAGGATGTGCCTGTGGACAGGGAGCCTCGGGCAGCCTCAGGTGTGGGGAGGAATTTCCCCTGGGCTGGCCAGCCCACCTGTCCACCCCTGGGACCCACACCCGCCCTGTCCCTCCGTCTGCCTAGGGGAGACCCTGTGGCAGCAAGACTGTCAGACTAAACTGAGAGAAGTGCTGTTTACAGTGTCTCTTTGTCTCCACGGCCTGTTGTACATCTAGAAACAGCCTTCTGAGGGTGGAGTGTGTCGTTTGAACCTTTGTGCACCTGGCTGGTGCAAAGTCAGTCTTTAGCTTCCTGGCCTGCACTTGTGACCTGAAGCCCCCACTCCACCTTTCTGTCTGGCCAATACCTGTTCATCTTAGGGACCCATCTAGACTGTCCCCTCTCCAAAGGGGCTGTTATACCTCATCCATGGCTTGTGGCCACCGTTTATGGGACAGCCACAGCCCCTTGTCTGTTGAAGGAAAGTTGTGTTTTATTATTGGGTCTCTCTGTCTCTCTCATTCATTCATTACTGGGGATCAAATCCATGGGTGTGCTACCCCTGAATTGCATCCCCAGCCCTTTTTAAATTTTACTTTGAAATAGAGTTACCTTGGCTGGGATTGAACTTTTTTTTTTGGTGGTACCAGGAATTGAACTCATGACCTTATGCTTGCCAGGCAGGCGCTGTGGCACTGAGTATATCCCCAGTCCCTGGGATTGAACTTGTCATACTCCTACCTTAGCCTCCTGAATAGCTGGGACAGGTATTTTTTGGATCTGCTTGAACACAAGGCCTGGGTCTGCCTTTAACACCTGTGCTTCGTGGTGTGTGGCTCTTCCCTGGGCAGAGCCAGGCAGGGAGGGGTGCTGTCAGTGATGTCCAAAGAGGAGGCCCAGTGCTAGTGTCCAGTGCTTGCAGGGAGGCCTTGCAGGGAAGGTGGTGACGGTCAGACTTTGGCTCGCCCCCTTGCTAGCCATGTGGCCTTGGGCAAGTCATTTTTTTGCTGAGCGTCTTTCTCATCCTTGAAATGGGATGATGATACCTCCTTGGGAGCTGAGACACGGGCTCCTAGCCCCAGTGCTGAGCACAGGCGGGCAGACGCTGCTAGCTGGGGGAGGGGCTTTGTTCGTTAGGGCCAGGGACCTGCAGGTGGGCTTGATTACAGCTGGCAGAGGATGGCCTAGGGTAGGGACCTTTGGGGCTAGAGATCAGGCTGTGGGCTCTGGGCTTCTCTCCCAGCTCCTGTGTGGGAGGAAGTAAGTTCTTAAAGAGGAAGTATCTATACAGGGGGACAGGGCAGGCACCCAGGAATGTGGGCTGAAGGGTGTTCACCCCCCTCCCACCATCAGAGGCCTCAGGCCCACACACCCTTCCACAAAGACTGTTTCCTTCCTCTGTCCCCTGTGCTACCCTGACGGCCACAGAGGTTCTTTCCCTGCTTTGGGGGACTGGGAGTTTGGAGGGTGAACCAGCCCTGGCACTGGACCAGAGCACTTTGGGCTGCCAGAGAGTCTGAGGAAGCAACGAGAGGCCTTGGTCTGAGCGGGGCATCTTTCACAACCCTCTAGGCTGTCCACCGCCGTGTTATCAAGGCCCTGCGCAGGCAGGGAAGGGGAAGTGGGTGCACGCGGGGGCGTGTGTTTCTACATGGGGCTGGCTGTGGAAAGGGTTTCCGATCAGCGCTGAGTGCGTCCGTCAGTTCCTGTGGGTGAACTGGTGTGAGGATGAGGTGAGACCACAGGGACAGGGCTGGGCCTGGTCTACCCGCCCCTCCAAGGCCACCCCTCCTCTTCGACCTCTGTCAGGTCCTTGCTTGCCAGGGTCCTCTGCCCCCTTGTCCCTCCCAGAGCCTGGGACTGGCAGGCTTCTTCAGGATGACAGAGCAGTGGCAGGAGCAGGCATGGTGGTGCCAGCTCTACAGGCTGCCGTTCTGCGTGGTCACAGTCCTGGCAAGATCACAAGAGGGGAAAGATTATCCAGACTGTGGGCCAGGGCAATCAGGCTATGTGTGGTCCTGCTTATTTCTGTCCCATGTGCTCTGAGGGTCCCCCGGGGGATGTTTGCGGGTGTCGGTTTTGTCTCTGCCTCATTGCCTTGCGGCTTCTGTCTGTGTTCCTGTCTCCTGTCTTAGGATCAGAGGACACAGGCAGGGGCGTACCCTTCGGCTGTCCCTGGGTCATAGGCTTGGGGTCTGCAGGGTCCCCTCCTCAGCAGGACAGCCTGACCCATCTTCTGTCCCTCCTCCCTGCCAAGGGGGAAGTGAGAAGGAGGGGGGCCAGGGACCCTGCCTTCTGTACCAAGAAGGCTAAAAAAAGCAGAAGTAAGAGAAATAACAGGGCCTTCTGGCCACTGGCTTGAACCCCATCATGCAGACCCCGGCAGATTTCCCCCAGGTTGACAGAGACTTGGTCTCCTGTCCCAGAAAGGTGAGCAGAGGGGTGACCTCACCCAGCAGTGTCTGTCAGCGTGAGTCTGAGCAAGGAATAGGTTTTGGGGGGTGGCTGCGTCCCCTGGGGTTTCTGGGTGGCTGCATCTGTCCCCAGGGAGTGTTTTTAGGCAGAGGCAAACAGACAAGGTGGAGATGCAGATCTCGGGGTGGTGTGGGCAGGGATTGCCGCGTGGCCTTGTCCGCCTCAGCCCTTCTCTGAGCCGGGCTTTCTGCCTGTCCCACCAGAAGGTTGACAGTTGGGGGTCTGATTAGCTGGCAGGTTTTTTTTTTTTTTTTTTAGAGGGGGGCCTGTTCTACCCACTCCCCACCCGTCAGGGAGCGCCCTTTGAAGTAAGCTTGTGTCTCTGAAGTTCAA